GAAAGCACAGAATTTGGGCCCTAAGAATGTCATTTTTGTTCAACTTTTAATAGGCCTAAATTGCTGTTAAATTAAAGAAGTTTCATGATTTTAATTAATTACACATGTTTTTTGTTCAAATGTAATATAATCATCCAGAAAAATTTAAACGAAAAAATAAAATAAAATAACTGAATCCAGAAAAATTTAAACGGAAAAAAAGATTTTGGAAAAAATTAAACTTAGGCTAATTTGGGAAAAATAAAACGGATTTCATAGGGCCCTACAAATATCATGCATCTGAAGCTATAATTTTAATACTAAGCAACAGTGCATATTATATAGGGCCTATTTTAATTTTTTTAAATGGCGCTCACTCGTTTTTTGTGAAGGACCAAAGAAGGACCATGCACAGTCACGTTCCACACAGGCACACTTCATGTTTGGTTGAAATAATCCTTAAGCATGTAAATATATAATTTCCTTCAGTTTAATTGAAATGTGCAATTAAAATAAATAAAAAATAAATGTATATTTTAAAGTTTAGAATTAGACAATTGGATCGTGAAAATTACCCCAACGCACCACCTAGTGTCCAACCTACTCTAATACTATTATAACCTGTTTAAATATGAACAAGGGATTTACAACATTAAAGAAATCATTTATTTATAACATGTACATGAAAAATCTAAAAGATTGGACAACTATGGGACACGGTCGTGCAGCAGCGAGCAACAGTGAAAGAAACCTCAAGGTTGTAGATGTGTGAAATTGTATAGGGCCCCATTCCTGTATTTTGCCTGGGGCCCCCAAATCACTAAATCCGCCCCTGGCACTCCCTCACAACCACTTATGGGTCCCCGGGACCCCAGATTGAAAACCCCTGGTTTAAACAATATCAGTACTATTTACATTTCAGTGGACTAAAAGATGCCTCTGATCTGCAAGCAGTCAGGTGGGGGAACAAATACATTCACTAAGCATTAAAAGCTTTCAAGATATAAAAGACAGAAAGGATCACTTACTGTGTCACCTCTCAGCACATGCCAGTCCTCATTTGCAATAGGTTCAACAAACACCTTTCTTCTTTTCTTGCCGGGTGGATTGAGCCGCTGGGCTGCGATCGTCCACGGTCTGTTTGTCCCATAACGATAATCATGTGGAAATGCAGCTTTTGCTGCCATAGAAAGCAACGCTGTCAGTCTCATGCTGCTGAGGATGATCAAAACAAAGAACCAGTTAAAAAACGGCAATTCACAATTATGTCTGAAATCTACATTTGAATGACCAGTAGATAAATATCTAATATAACAGCCAGATTTTTGACTGTAGAGGAAGTAACCGTGCATCCGTCTAGTTGCAAATTGTAATCCACGAGATTCGGCGTACTGTCTTTTGGTCACAGAAACTCGTGGATTACAATTTGCAACTAGACGGATGCACGGTTACTTCCTCTACAGTCAAAAATCTGGGTGTTATATTAGATAGCAACTTGTCTTTTGAAAATCATATTTCCCATGTTACAAAAACAGCATTCTTCCATCTTAGAAACATTGCCAAGCTACGAAACATGTTACCTGTTTCTGATGCAGAAAAGCTAGTTCATGCATTCATGACCTCTAGACTGGACTATTGTAATGCACTGCTAGGTGGTTGTCCTGCATCTTCAATAAACAAGCTACTATTAGGGATTTATAATAATTCAATAAGTCTTTCTGAAATACAGATAATAATGGTTTTATTGGCACTTTTATAGATATAAAGGTTTTCCTATCCAGAAGTTATTAGGAGGGATATATATGTTATTAAGGATTTTTAGAATTGATTTTGGGGGAATATGAAAGCATAAATACATCGCTCTCAATTTCTCAGTGATATTTACCAATAAATATATGCCACCATATTACTGAAATGTATCATTTGTTTTGGTAAACGACAAACAATAATTGGAGTGAAATAAATCAAAGGCGTGTAAAAAGCTCTTTGAGTTGAGCTTGACATTAAAGTGTGGCCTGTATTAATGAATCACAGCTATGTTCATAAATTAGGTGTTCTTGCTAACTGTTTCAGTACATAAAAGTAAATGCCAGGTAAACACTTGGGCAATGAATATTAAATATTACTACAGTAGTATTTATTATTGCCAATTGATGTATTAATTCCACCATACAAAACCATAGTATGACATTTCTACATTTTAAGAAAATACTCATCATTGTTAGGCCAATAACAGTTGTTTATGTTTCATGAAAATGTACACAAAAATTATAGTTGCCTGACAGAATATTAAAATTATTCTCTTTTTTTTACTTGCATAAAACCATTAACCAATCAAATCGTCTTTTCATTCTGTATCCAAGTAGGATGACTCAGACCAGCCAATTAGCGTCGAGCTTTGCTTTGTAGTCAGGCAGACATAACACAGTCGTCCAATCACAAAATAAGCCGAAAGGGGATTTTTGCTCTATATTTGTCTCAGGTAGTTTCTTTTTCGTTTATAAAATAAACGGTACCATTATTTTGTATTTGAATGAGATATTGCGCTAGGTAAACTTTGTACAATGATAATAGGTATATTTTATTAGAAAGGCCAGGTATTTTAACGTAATAATCGAAGGTTTTCGAAGCGTACAAGTGTGTCTAGCTAGTTCTATAGCAAGTGTCATTGGTGGTATGATATTAACGATAGCTAGCTTGTGCAAACATATACTAAAACCCAAAGTTTTTTTTAAACAAATAATATCATTAAATTATGAATTACTGTAAGGAAGTGATCATTTATGTCGGTTTCGTTTTAGTCGACGTCTCTTCGGCCTGTTCGAACTCATGTTAGCCTATTAGCTGCTATGTCATGCTCATTTAAACCAGGCTGCTGTGAGGTTTATTTCTAGTGATCAGTAAGCATTTGCGTTTGAGAATATGGTTAACTTGCGCTAAAATGAGTTTTTGGTCATAAATAACCAATGGCTTCGTCTAGTTGCTGGTTGGATGGTCTTTCAGTACGCCCACAAAGAGATGCACATGTGTGTAATCAACCAAACCTGTGCATGTATCAAATATGCTAGTCGAATATTAAATTAAATAATGCATTAAAGTGATTGGATTTGATCCTGGTATCATGCATACACCGGCTGAAAGCATCAGTTTCTTATGTTGAGATCTTCATTGGGCGCGTGTGTGCTGAAAATGAGGAAATGTCTGGACTGGGGCAGGAAAAAACAGCCCTGTAGTATTTGGGCATGGTCGCTATCCGATTGACCTGACAACAGATTCATGAGTGGCTGTATTTTCGAAATGGGAAAAATATCTTGAGCGTTTAGGCGTGGGAGAATTAGGTGCTTGCGTGGTTTCATTTCGTGTTTACAGTCTGGCTGTATGTGTAAACATGACCTAAATATGTCTGATGATTATTTGCAGACATGTGATGCATTGAATGTTTACCAGTAAGCAGTTTGTTCTAAGAACATTTCAATATATTGCCTGCAGACTTAAAGTTGTTGTGCATATTAGAGAAATACTATAAAACAATTGTGCATTTTAAACACTTGATACTACAAATATGGTCTAAAACTGCAACACCCTACAACTTTTACTATTGGCGTTTAGTTGCATTGATCTAGTGTGTAAAGTTCTGGTTGCGTGCAGAATAATCTCTCGATCAACCTATAATTAATTTACTTTTTAAAACACGCTGTTGCGTATTAGACACTTAGAATTAAAAGTTGGCCAAATCCTTATGCAGACACATACTAACTAGCCCCTCATGTTCTAGAGCTCCTCATGTTCTAGAGCTTCAGGTCCAGGAGGGTTCTGAATGCAGTTTGTCGGTCCAGTGTGGCTGAGACATGGCAGAAGATCAGTTAAAGGCAGACGCCTCGGCTGGGGAGGGGGAGACGGAGCCCAGTATGCTGCTGCAGAAGCTTAAAAGCAACATTTCGTAAGAGCTATTCATTTTTACTCTTGAATAGAATCTTAAAGCTTTATTTCCTGAAGAAATGTTATATCATGATTAAAATATTAAGCAGAATGTTTGTTTGTAGAGCTGTAGCATTAAGGGAATAGTTCACCCAAAAATGAAAGTTTGTGGAAAATTGACACCCCCTCAGGCCATTCAAGATGTAGATGAGTTTGTTTCTTCATCAGAACAGATTTGGAGTAATTTAGCATTACATCACTCGCTCACCAATGGATCCTCTGCAGTGAGTGGGTGCCGTCAGAATGAGAGTCCAAACAGCTGATAAAAACATCACAATAATCCACAAGTAATCCACACTGGACTGCAGTCCATCAATTACTGTCTTATGAAGCGAAAAGCTGCGTGTTTGTTGTTTGTAAGAAACAAATCCATCATTGAGGCATTCACTGCAGAGGATCCATTGGTGAGCAAATGATGTAATGATACATTTCTTCAAATCAGTTTTGATGAAGAAACCGACACATCAACATCTCGGATGACTTGAGGGTTAGTCAATTATCAGCATGTTTTTTGGGTGAACTATTCTTTTAAGTTGAAGCCCGAACCCTTAATGTAATTTATGTATGCATCATACATGTGTGTATGCGAATGTATATGCAAATATATGCATTTTTTCCCTATCTTTTCACAGTAAAAATGTGCAGGGCAAAGTGGACAGAATTTTGGTAAGTTTCTTAGAGGATAAAATTAAATTAAATTTTAGTCCTCTGAAATGTTGTAATTTATATCAAGTGTATTTTCAATCTTATTTGAAACAAGAATATAACAGGGTGACAATTTTTTTTATTAGCTATAGCATGAACACAATAGTAAAAGTGTATATAATCTCATTTACATACGTTTGAACCCACAACTATTACATTAGCAGTTCATTTCTATTATCACTATACAACCACTGTGTCCTGTTGTATTGTATAATATTTCGCACTCATTCAGCTTATTTGTACATTTACAGTGTTTTTGAGCACATTGTCTTGCCCTTATTCTGTCTTTCTTCCTGTGACATGTCTCCTCTCAGGACGATGTACAGCGTTTCTCTGACAACGACAAACTCTACCTTTACCTACAGCTACCCTCAGGTCCAGGTGCAGGAGAGAAGAGGTACATAAAAGCCCACAAATATACTTCAGTCAGCCTTGATCCATTTTTTAAATCTGTATGTTTTTAATTGATCAATTCTGAATACTTAATTCTATAAGTCTATTTTTTTTTAAAGTAAATAGCAAGATGACATGTTAAGTTTTGCTCAGCATTATTGTGGTGTCATTGATGTACTATTATAATTATTAATATTTTGAATTAGATTCTATTTTCTGTTTTCATTTTAATTAAAGTTTCAGTAATTTTGTGTGTTTTTTAATATTAGTCTATATAGTTTATTTAAAATAAGTTAAGTTAAAATTTTAGTTAAATTTTAATAGAGGTTGACCGATTGATCGGTTTTGCCGATTATTCGGCACCGATAGTTGATTGCTGGAACTATCTGCAAAAATCCATGCCGATAGTTTTTCCTGGTTGTGTCCGCTGCTGGAGCAGCTGAGAAGGGTCCGCTGTCATTGTACAGTACAAGAGTGGGAAATCACTAACACCACATGCTGATTGTTTTGACACGTGAGGCTGCGTGCTGCACAGAGCGAGACATTTCAGATGCGGATTTAAAATAGACAGCGAAACGGTGTGTATACAGTATACAATAGTGCATATTTTCATATCATTATAAAGTAAATAATTTGTTGTCTAAATGCTGCATTAGTTAGAAAGAACAGCAGTATTTTTGCTATCAAGGCTACGAGGACGCGAACATTAGTATTACCTTAAACTGTTAAAACAATGTGACCAAAACACACGCAAGTCCGACCCAAATGTTTAATGTCACGATTGTTACCATCTATTTGCATTAGTTTATATCCAGCTCGTCACTTTAATGCATTTGTTAGCCAGAAAAGTTGCAGATTTAAAGCTGGTGACATGAGAAAGCACAGTGATATGTTCATGCACCTGACAGAAATCCTGCTGTGCCACAGAGCACCATTCACACAATTTTACATTAAATTAGATTAAATTTGTCCCAAAAATTGTTTAAGTACATAATGAATTCACTTCAGTGCTGCACTTTTGCCTGGTGTGAGACTAACATATTTTATTATTTTGATTAGATAATCATCAAGTGTTCTAAAATATAAGCAAATAAAGTGAGAGCGTGTACATAAAATATGCATATGTATGTAATTTCAATGCTATGGCCTTTGTGTAGATATTTAAAGATGGCCATCTTTAAGCATGACTGTTAAAATGAAATGGTAACACTTTACAACAAGAGTCCATTTGTATCATTAAGATTAAAGGAAGCTGTAGAAGTAGCCTATTGTTCCTTGATAGTGTGTGTTAATTTCAACATTTACTAATACATTTTTACATTTTCAAGTTGCTTCATTAGTTAATGAACTATGAACTAACTTTAATGATCAATATATAACTAATATTTATATTTTTATTTATTTACAAAGTATGGTAAAGTATTTATTTATTTTTATAGTAAAGCATCCATTTTAAAAACTATCAGGTGATTAATCGTATCGGCCAGTGTGGTCCAACCTAGCTATCGGTAAAATCCACTCAAACCAGTCGACCTCTAAATTTTAATTAAAGTACTCAGACTAAGGAAAATGAGAAATGTTGCCTTGGCAACTAGATGAATTAACACAAGTTTTTTTTTACATTTTAATTAATGATTTTCAATGGTTTTATTTAACAATAATAATAACCCTGATTTTGCTACATTGCTTTAGGAGTGAAGCTACATTTATGATTTGTTTTTGGTTTTCATAGGCGGACCTTCCAAACCTCATAAAGTAATCAAAAAGATTGCAGCAGCTTCCCGAGCAGGTGGAGCAGAAGAAGATAATGTCAGTGCAGAAAATAAGGTATTACTGGTCTGAAATTTGAACATTTCACATTTTATATCTGTTTCTTTCCCCAAATTTCTCCCCCAAATCATTTTGGATGCGTTCACACTTGTAGTTCGGTTCTCTTGGTTCGTTTGGTCCGGACCAAAAAAGAAAACGATACATTTGGTCCTGGTCCGCTGAGTGTTCACACTGCCATTTTTTACAGTGAACCTAAAGATACCGAACCTAAAGGCACAGTGATACGTTCACAGCCTGATTGGTCGGGTTGAATGATGTATATTTCGTGACTGAACTCACCGAATACCCCAAACAAAAGGTGTGTGCGACTTAAAGTGGCGCTGTGCAGACCGACATTGTATGACATCAAAGTACCCATTCACAGATTTGTCTGATCAGTGCCGCTTTAAGTCGAACACATGTAATGCCGTCTGCTGGATTAAGCGCGCTCATTGCTGCGTGTACTTATGATTTTATTTTCACCACCTGAAAACTCACGAAGAGCTCATAAAAGGCACTTTACCTCCTCATTGCTCCACGTTTGCTCTCTGCTCATTTTGTTTTGGATACACCGCTCGTTCCGCATCATCAAATCATGTCGCATCTTGTCATTACTTCCTGTTTTGGGTTCGTTTAGAAGTGTTTGGTCCGTGTTGCATTCATATTTCATTCGAACCGCACCAGAGTTCGTTTGGATGCGGACCGAGACCCACCTTTTTAGCGGTCTCGGTCCACTTGTTTGGTGCTCACCAGGGTTCGGATGGCAGCGTTCACACTTACTCAAACGAACCGCACTAACAGAGCAATCGCACCAGGGTTCGTTTTAATCGAACCAAACATGACAAGTGTGAACACACCCTTTGATTCATAAGTCAATCACTTTTGCACTAATCTCTGGAATAGAGTGTCATCAAATATTTTTGTATAATGACTGTATAAATGCAAAACCGTATAATTGATAATTATCTCAGTCAACTGATTTCCTACATATATGTGCTACTTTTATATTTCTCAACTGAAATGAATATTTAATGGCCATTTTTTTGGTAAGTCATATCATAAGTGGGATAATTTACAGTCAGCCAATCAATTTCACAAAATAAACCCAATAAGGGCATCCCGATCACCTTGTCAGGGTTAGTTTTTTAGTAATGTCACACATTAGCAGTAGTACATACTATAAATGGTAAATATAGTACCGTTTTGATGTTTTTGGCAGCAAAAAGAGAGAGATGGTGTGGAACAGCCGCCATCCAATAAGCAGCAGATCAGTGATAAACCAACAAATAAGCTTGAGTCTGCTCGAGTGGAGGCCTATATGAAGAAGCTGCCTCAGCTCCTTCCCAGAGGCACCGTTCCAGAGAAAACCTCCCCACCGTGTCTCGCACCAGCCGATTCGGGCAGCGTTCAAGTCACTTTGCCTATTACAGTCACAACGATACCCTCTCAACCAGGTGGCACCGTCCCCGTTATGATTTTACCATCGGGTGTGAGTCTCTCTTACCCAGAGCATGAGAAAACATCAGTCACGGTCGCCACTTCTGCTGCTCCGACTCCAGTCGTCCAGAGAGCACGACCGGCAGCTCCTAAGAGGGGCCCTGACCCCTCCACCTCAGTGTCAGCTGCTGGTGTTACTCAGAAACGCAAAAGAGGACGACCCAGAAAGCAAAGACCAGAAGACATGGCACCACAGGTACTGTCAGCCCCAACCTCAAATCCAAATCCAGCTTTGCTCACGAGAGGAGTAATCCAAAAAGCCTTGCCTTCCTGTGTGCCAGTCGCTCCTTCACAGTTGGTGGAAATCGTGATCCAGGACCAGCAAGGATTGATGCTTACCCAACTTCCGACCATCCAGGAAGTGACAGATGCTGAGCATAGAGGTGTAGTGGTGCAATGCCAACCAGCACCAGAACCTGAGAAGCAGCAGTCCATCCTGCTAATGCAAGGGCCCAACCAACCGGGTTACGAGCTGAGCCGCAGGATGGTCATCCAGCGTGCACCGTTATCCAGAGAAGGAAGGCCAGCTCCTCAAGAAGTGCCACTGTCCACTGTTTCGTACCTCCCACCGGCAATGTTATTAGAGGACAGAGGAGAAGTGGAAATTACTCTGACTCCTGTGGAGCCACAGGTCGATTCCATGCCAAACTCAGCAGGTATTCCCAGCTCCTTCGGCTCCTCGTTTGGAGAAACTCCAAAACCAGATGCCCCGTAACAGCAGCACAATAACTGTCTCCTTTCTCTGAGACTCCCTGGTCTCAATGTGCAATGCTTTTCCAGTGCTTCTGTGAATTGCATACTGGCTTGTAGTCAAACTGAGGTGTACCATCTTGGCTGAGCTTGATTGGGTATGTCTGCTTTCTGTGTAAAATGATGTATAGAAGTACAACATGTCATTGTTGCCTTCAAACAGCAACTACACTCATATTTTCATATTATTAATACGAAAAATTCCTGAAGATTTCAGGAGTGCTTTTGAAGAGATTATGAATTTAAGTGGCCTAAAACAAAAGTTTTGACACTTTTGACAAGAAAGAGTGAACTTTAGAGCATTGAAAATTGAAACAAACAGATATACTCACAATCTGGTCCAGCTCAGTTATAAAGCAAAAGGACATCTAAAAAAAAAAGATAAATCATCATGGTTACCAAGGAACTGCTTACCATCTGTCGGTGTTTATTACCATACTCGGTGCCATAAGAGGCCAGTTGGTCTTTTTTGCTCTAACCATCTTTGCATGTTTGTGTTTGTAAATATTAATTGAGGCATTTGAGTGTGTTTTCTAGCTGTTCAGATGACAAAGAGTGGTATTACGGGTTTGCAATTTCAGGGTTCTAAAAAAAAGTCCCTCCCTCACCCATTGATTGGGTTAATAGTTCAGTTTTTTTTAGACGTCACAATTAACAGATATACAAAACTTCAAAATGACTCCATCGAGTTGCTGTTGTGAAGGTCGAGAAGACCCTACTGGTTCAGATGGTGCATAGTGTAGGTGGATGGAAAAACAAAGACCTCTTAAGTCCCTTTAAATATGCAAATGAGGCTGTGATTTTGGGATTCTTCTCAAATCCCCGCCCCCTGCGTTCAGGACTGTCCAGTCGTTCTCTTACAGCAACGTAATTTAGCACTTAACAGATGTAAATAGTTTATCTGTGAGCCCGGAAGGATATCTTCATAGGTCAAGTGTACCAGAACTAATTTAAAACATTTTATTTTCCAAATGTATAGCCATCGTCACTATATTGCTACTATGGAATATTATTATTATTATTATTAGTTACTAGTAAAGTGTGCACTGTCACCCTAAAGGTATGTACAAAAAAATTAGAAGTTGTTAAATTTCTGAAATTTGATATTATTTAAATTTCAACTGAAATATGTACTAATTATTTATGTATACAAATTTTACAAAGCTTGAGCCACAACAGCATCTTTTTGTCTAGATTATCATATCTTAAAGGAGAATTTTGCTCTCTTTATATAGCCTTGAAATACTGTATTTTTTACTAGTTAGTTGTTTTCAGATATTACACTTGATCTTAGCCAAAAGTCGAAAAAATGTAGTAGTACAGTTTATTTAATTTGTAATTTAATAATATTTTTTAAAATTTGAAATTAATTGATCAATGGAATGGGAAAATAGAATTGTTTGTAGCTGTTTTATGAATATTATTTGATGCGCTCTATTACATTTGAAGGTATTGAAAGGCTATGAATTGGGGGAAAAAATATCTCCTTTAAGGTTCAAGCTCAACAAAGGCTGTTGGTGGTTAATAGAGGTTTAATAGGCACTTAATTTAAAACAAAGCCACTCCAATTATGAATAAAAAGATTTGGAGTCAGATGTTTGCTATTTATTCAAATATTGTAGTAATATATGTGAGATGGGAAATGACTAGAGGTGATAATTTTACTATGGATAATGGTGCTTTAAAAAAGCTAAACGGGTTTAACTAACAACACAAATGATTGTAATTCACATCGTACACTCTAAAAAAAATGCTGGGTTAAATACAACCCAGCGCTGGGTAAAATAGGGACAAACCCAGCAATTGGGTTGTTTTGACCCAGCGGTTGGGTTACTACCAAGAAAGTTGGGTTAAACATTTAACCCAACCGCTGGGTCAAAACAGCCCAATTGCTGGGTTTGTCCCTATTTTACCCAGC